TTTAAGTTCAGTGATTTTATTATCAGTATTCATCAAAAATTAACCACTGGCCAAAAAATTACTGAATTACTGGTAATATTTAATCACTAATAATTTTTCAGTATTTCTTAGTATGATATTTCTAAGTAAGTATAGGTATAGTATAATAGTATAAAGTAGGTGAGCTATAATGGCGACGTCTGCCGCTGTATGTTTGTATTAGGTCAAACTGAACGAAAAGGTTCCCTACCATTTTCCAAATACTCATGTAAATATTTAGTTATTAATCAAAGAAAATTGATACATTATCTTGCACAACTGTGTACCGATTTTCTTTCATTAATAACTAATTATTCACATTTACATTTATTCGGTTATTTAGAAAATAGTAGAGAATTTTTTTGTTCAGTTTAACCTAATATACAAGCATACATCGACGTCACCATCATAGCTCATCTAACACGTGATCATTCACAAATCTTTTTTAATATCTTAAAATTTTACGTGGTTTTTCGCAAAATGGTAGAAAAATTTTTTGTTTAGTTTGACCTAATCCACATATACCGCAGCTCGTTTTACTGGACGTCCTATATATGCACAGGAATATATATATATATATATATATATATATATATATATATATATATATATATATATACGCAGATGTTACCCGTTGAGCTATCGGAAAACAAACTTATTAATTTAATTTTCAAAGGTACACCAGTAAAAATATTGGGAGTACAAATAAATCTCCGCCGTTTTTTATCAAAAATTGCGCATTTATTGTGAAAGAACAGTACCTTATATTTTATTCAAAGTATTGTCCATCGCTAGCCACTACTTTTTCCCATCTTTCTGGCAGCATACGGATACCGCGTCGGAAGAACGCTTCATCTTTTCCACGAATCGACCCAATTTTTGGTATCTTCATTGATGTGAAGTGCTGCTCAGACAGGCCGTGCGTCATCGATCGAAACAAGTGATAGTCAGAGGGAGCAATGTCTGGTGAATACGGCGGGTAGAGTAAAACTTCCCAATTGAGTGTTTCCAAGTAGGTTTTGACCGGCGCCGCAATATGTGGACGAGCATTATCATGCAGGAGAATAATTTTGTCGTGTCTGGAATAGTAGTGGGCGCGTTTTTCCTTGAGTGCTCGGCTCAATCTCATTAATTGTGTTTGGTAGAGAGCCCCAATAATGGTTTCGTTCGGTTTGAGCAACTCATAATACATACAACCAAGCAGATCCCACCAAATACACAACATGAGTTTTTTTCCATGAATATTCGGCTTGGCTGTCGATGTTGAAGCATGGCCACGTGGTCCCCATGATTTCCTCTTCTTTGGGTTATCGTAGTAGATCCATTTTTCATCATCAGTGACTATACGATGCAAAAAACTCTTTCGTTTATGCCTGGCAAGCAGCATTTCACATGTGCAAAATCGGCGTTCAACGTTTCTCGGCTTCAGTTCATATGGAACCCAATTTCCTTGCTTTTGAAT